CTGTAAACATAGCTATAATTATCAATATTCTTTTCATTTTACTCTACTCTATATATCACTTAAAAAGCTTAGACATCTAATTAAAATTGTTAAACAAACTCACAACAATCTTAATATTAATATAATAAACTCTAAGATTCAGAACATTAACAACAGATCTTATTGCAATCTTCAAGCTCTTAATTCAGATAACCACTTCCAAATTTATACATGAATTCAACATGCATATGATATTTGGAAACAACTATATCAAGCTTGTCATACTGAAAACTTATTATTACTCTGTCAACAAATTCAACAAACTACAGAAAAGAGATATGAAACAATTACAACATGTTCTAAACAAGCTATAAACAGCATCCTTAAGCAATACAAAGCTCTCATTCACTTTTTTAATTTTAAACTTCCTGACCAACTTATTACAGACTCTAATTTTATTAAACATCATATACAATCATACTTTTATAACTGAACTGCATATCGACCAATTAATCAAGCACTGTATAATAATTTATAGTATATGCATTATAAACCACAACCACATATTAATATTCAATAGTACAACTCTTTCAATTTTTCTATAACAGAAAAAGTTCTTCAGACATTATTAAAATTTCTCAATAGAAAAGCCTATGGACCTATAAGTATTAGCTATGAAATGCTTAAACATACAGGCACTGCTTGTATTCAAGCTATCACAGCTTATTTAATTATTGTTTTAGTTCAAGTCAAATCTCTAAACAATGAAAATACAACAGAATCTATCCTATTCCAAAACATAACACATTCAATAAAAACTTAAACCTTACTCATTCTATAAGTCTTATTAAATATATTCGAAAAGTATATACAAAAATTATAACTACCAGAATTAGTACTGTGTTCACCTAACATCCAATTTTTTCATCATACAACTATGTCACTTTATCTAATAATAGAACATTTATACCTATTCATATACTTAATAATCTTATCGAAGATGCATCATGCAACTACAATCTAATTTGGCTTTTATTTCAAGATATAAGCAAAGCATATGACTTTGTTAATCTTACTCTTTTTTAAAAGTCTTTATAATGCCTTGTCTTACTTAGTTCTATTATTAACACTATTATTAATATACTTACTGATCGACAAAATCAAGTTATCACAAACATTAGTCTTACTTCATCATATTCTGTACTTAATAGCATTGACCAGAATAAAACTATTACTTCTCTTATATAAAGAATTTATTATAACCCACTTATATTATACATTTATAACAACTTCAAAGATTATATTACACAAGTTTCTTGATTAACCAATCTTAAACATCAAACATACAACAAGCTTAGTACATACTGCTTAGTTCTTGTCTATATGAATGATACCTTTTGGATTGCATCTTCACAACAAGAACTATTATAAATTCTTTCTATAGCTGAATCATTCTATAACATGGCCAATATACAGATTAATTCTACTAAATCTATACTTACAACTAATATTAAACAAACTAACTATATTCTTATCATATATAACAACTATCTTCTCAACCTTCATCTATCAAATGAACTATTTAAATTTTTTGGATGCTGGTTTACACTTAATAATAAACTAACTAAACAAACCAAACTTATTATGACAGAATCATCAAATCTTATCAAAATTGCAGGCACTAACCAAATTACTAATATATATGCATGATATATCATCAATACTATTATAATTTCTACAATAAAATATCAACTTTACAACATTGTTCTTAATCAAAATACATCTAAAAAAATCCTTACAAGTCATATTGAACTTGTTAAAAACAAAGCCAAACTTAGTTAAACAATTTTTACTAATATATTGCTCAACTTCAGCTATACAATATTTGTAACATATAGAATATCCAACTACAACATCATATTACAAATTTTACCAAAAGGCTCAATTCTCCTGATCTTTTGAAATTAAATACTTATATTAGAATTCAACAACTTCAAAACAACTTGTGATCATCTACTAGTATTCTGATACATGATAATTCTATTATTGATGGGCCTAACAAATATACTATTAACTTCAAAATTATTTAACTCTTTAAACATCTTGACATAATATTTATATTTATCCATTATACAATATTCTATACACTATTCAAGAAGGATTTACTTTATTTGAGTTAATACTTTCATCACATATTAAATACTCAATATTTAAAAAACAACTTAGACACTATTTTATTTTTTACTTAAACCAACTTACTACATTTAACAACTCATGCCTTCTAGAATAGAAACATATATTCTACATATAAACAAAATTCCTAAAAACAAACTACCACTCTGGTTTAGCTATCTAGAAGACCAAACTACAAGCTACTTATATAATCATACTCTTTACCAACATTTACACTTACTTAGTACTAATTACTATAGTTATTCAACTGGATACTTTTTTTTACAAAAAAAACTATAGCTTATTACAGTACTTGATAATTAAATTATTATTAAAAAAGCCAGAAGACAACCTTTCTCTTTAGAAATCATTCTTATTATTCACTGACAATGCCATATAGAACAACAATTTACTTACCTATATCTACTTTCATCTATTTAATCACAAGCATAATCAGGTTGCTCTCTTAACTCTTATACAATTGCTAATAAATATACAATTAATATCCCTATCAACTCTCTTCTAGATTTTTGGTCAAGTTAATACATATAACAAATTTCTTAACTTTAATACTAATCACTTTGACCTTATATACTCCATTGTAATTTAACATCTTATTCAAATTCCTAATCCTCCTAATATCAACATTATAACAAATCTAATTTCAACTATATTTGAACCTGGCACTTTAACAAACAACCTTCAACAAATTACCAACTATAATACACAATTATCAAAACTCTATTTTTATATAGATGACTTTGTCATTAATCTAGATACCTTACAATGCTCTATGCATATTGGATAGCTCCAAATTTTAAACAACAATATATTGCATATATTCTAAACCTAAACTAGATACTGGTCTTGTTCATTTAAGTCTAAGCTTACTACTATCTTATCAGCTCTTATTACTGCTTCTAGGAACAGTACTATACATATATATATTGATTTACAATCTGTAATCTCTAAATATCATAGTCTCTTAAACTCAATCTATACTCTATCTTATACATATACATCATATTTTTCATTATGAAACACATTTATTAACTTTATCAAATTATATAATATTTATATTATTTTTTACAAAGTTATTGCTCACTAGGATGATTAGTACAATAATCTTGCAGACCAATTTATGACAGTTATCACAATCTGCCATATCTTATCTTTATATCTTATAATATCTACAATCCCACATATACTTTAAATTTTGAAAACTTTCCTTTAGAATTATCTACTCATCACAGTATTCATACAATATATCATGCACATATTTACATACTATGAATTACACAAAATCATTTCCAAAAATAGCACAAAATTCTTAATCAAATTAATTAGCAAGCCACCTGGCTATACATCAACAACAACCAAAAAATTTCAAACTTCTTATATAGTTTTCAGTCTTTTACTCTTAAATCATTTAAAATTAAAATTCTACTAAATGATTTTCTATTTCATATATTCTATACAAATGAAATTACTCATACTTATCTATTTGTCATCAATGTCATTAAATCAGTTTCTATCTCTACTGGACAATTTGTTCATCTAATCAATTGCTATACAGTCTTATAAACATTTCATTACAACAAATTTTAAATACTAAAATACTTGATACTACTTCAAATACTATAACTAATTTACATAACCAAATTAAACTGTCAAGTAGTATAACTATTTACAGTATACCAGACTTATCTTCAGTCTTCTTAATTCTAACTGGTCTAATACTAAATGAACTTATCAACATTATTACAAATCTGTCATCTAAAAAAATAGGCATAACACTTGTTATCAAGTTTTTACTTCATCTTAACCAACAAATTTATCATAAAATCTGGATTCTATACTGCATCTCAAGATCTACAGCTCAACTTCCTAAATATAATAAATTTCCAAATGCTGTCTTATCTCTATCACATTCTCTTTTACTTAACTTTATTAGTTCAAAAATAAACTCTTAGTATATTCAATGAATTAAATATCAAACTAATCTTCTATATATAATTACTAATAATTAAATCTAGGTAAATCTTAACTATTTCAGTTAGTTTAGATCACAGATAAATTAGTCTGAGCTTTTATTCTTTCTATAATATTTTAAAAACAGAATTGTACTCTATGTAAAATTTTAATTAAATATTTAATAAAGATAGAGACATGACCTCATCATTAATATTAAAAAAAAAAAAAACTTTTTTTCTTAGATATATGTTTGTTTGCTACTGTTATAATTACTTCTTCTATCATATCCTATAAATTGTTAATTTTTTATATATTTTTTTCTTTTTCTTATTCTTCTTTTTGTATATTCTTTATCTTTAATTGTTTTTGTAATTCTTGTATATAATTCTTTTATTCTTCCTTCTTTGTTTTATCATAGAAATATATTGTTCTTAATTAGCTTTTTCTTTTGACTTTTGCCTTGCTACTTTTTGCTATCATATGTATTACCTATATTTCAACTATTACAGATATATCAACTTTAATATAATTTCTTATTAATATTACTATTAACATAATTTAAAACCAATTCAAATAGATTGATATTAATGAGAGTGACCTGTATATTTTATCTACCCTTAGGTATCTTTTGTTGTATTTTAATTAACTTTGGAAAAGTCTGAAATCGTCTAAACTATAAATTCAGATTTTACAAAATTAAAACGTAATCTATAAATGAGTACATACATTTTTTAAGCTAACCAATAAGATCGCACGTTATTATAGTATGTAGTACTGTAGTATCAAAAATGAATGTTTTGCTCATTTGAATGTCGCGCACGTGATTGTGGAAATTTGGTATGATTCAAGGATGTACGCGGAACTTAGATAAAAAAATGTCTTCCCGAAACGATTACTTAGCCAAAAAATATGGGACAACCTCAAAAAATACGAAAAAGACAAAGAAATCCGGTAAATCTACTACGAATTACGCTATAATTGACGAAGATGAGTTTGTGGGTAAATGGAAAAATGTTAGTTCTGACGGTGACAATGACAACGACGATGCCGCACCCGCAGTTGGTAAACGCGTATTGAAAATTTTAACCTTCGTTTAGAATTAAAAAGCTTGTAAGTTGAAAAAATTTATTAACAGACTTTTTACCGTCGTTTAATTATCATATGAATCAATAGATTATTCTGAATTAGACAACGAAGAGAAATCTAAAAGATGGAGGCCGATTGGTGCTGATGAGGACGAGGAACCACAAATTGGTAGGAATAAAATTTAATGAATTGATGTGTCTGTTATTATTAATTATATATAAATATACATTATATACTTTTTTGAAACTACAGTACAAGATTTAACTGATTCCTTAGACAAGGCTCCAGTAGAAGATCACAGTCCAAAGCGGAAGAAACGTCGAACTCATTCTTCAGATAAACGTATGGCGTCTGGGTTAAATGTTGGCTTGCAGACAGCTGATGAAGTGAAAAAAGACTTGGAACGCATCGAAAAAGAAACTAAAGACAGATTAAACATGGATCCTTCACGATCTGGACGTGATGCGGAGACTGTATATCGTGATAAACACGGTGTGTAATTTAAATAGTATATTATTATTTCTAACTCATATTTGTATGATATTTAAGTAATATTTATTTTTCCATTGTGGTGTATTATACAGGAAAAAAAATTGATATTGCTGCACAAAGAGCTGAAGAGCGTCGCAGAATTGAGGAAGAAGAAAAGTATATGAAATGGGGAACAGAAGAGCAAATTAGTAAAGAGGAGGAAATGCGGAACAAACCGTTAGCAATGTATGAACGTTGTATTTTATCAACTTAATTATTATCATCCGTACACAATTAATTTTCGTCGACTTTATTTTATAGATATAAAGATAATAAGGAATTAAACGAGGAACTAAAATCAAAAGAACGTTGGAATGATCCAGCTGCATTATTTTTATCTAAAGTGAGCAACCTAATATATCATGTTTAAACCAGTAGTATTGTTTCTATGACCTTTAATTATTTATTATCTGTGATGACTTTCAGAAAAGTAAAAAAAAAGAACCAAGTCGCCCTAAGTATCAAGGTCCACCTCCACCCCCTAATCGGTTTAATATACCACCAGGTTATAGGTGGGATGGCATAGGTGAGCGGCTGATATGATATAATATCTTATGATAACTTTGTACTGTTATGCAGTTTATTTACTTTTTTTTGCACATATAGATCGTTCTAATGGATTCGAAAGAGCGTACTTTGAGAAGCGTAACGCGAGGTCTGCAATGACTAGTGAAGCTTATAGCTGGTCAGTTGAAGACATGTGAATGTGAATTTCAGATAACAGTCAGGGAATATGCCACATAGAGTGATAAATTATAATAAAATCTAATAAAAACATATAAATTTACTATAAACTTTAAGCCCCAATTATTATCAACTTACATATTAACTTAATTGTATATTTTAGGATTAACTATATCAAAAATAGTAGATTAAAGTTATTTAGACCACTTTTTTAAAATTCTATAAAAATGTTAAATTTTCTTAATTGAATTTATAAAAAGAAAATATTTTCTAATTTTAAAAGTGTAATTATATGTAAATTGTATACGAAGTCATGTAAAAAATTGGATACGAAGATAGATTTCTTTAGTAAAAAAAAAAGTTGTACATAAACTAACAATTTTAATTTAGTATATAGCTAACTTTGTTTTTTTACTAATATAACTTATTTTGTTTTTAAGTAAATATATTTAGTATACAATTTTACATATATTTTACATTTTTAAAATTAGAAAATATTTTTTTATAAAATTTAATTAAGAAAATTTTTTTTTAAGGTGATCTCTTTGGTCTTTTGACTTTTATTAATTACTTGTTGGTATTGTGGTTCAATGAATCACTACAGGAGAGTGTACAATTGGTTACACATGCAACTTTTCTATATTACCTATTTAAGGAGTCTGTCTGAAGGTTCCCCATCAATTGCTGTACCTAACATTCTTGCTTGGGTGTTCTACTTTAAACTCTTTGAATCTGTGTTAACTTACTGGATCATACTCAGATGCTCAGATCATCATTTCAATCTTAGAACTAATTTATTCTCAAGATAAACCCCCTAGAGCCTTCTGTACCTATTTTTACAATTGATCTAGATATTGTTATGACAGAATCAATACTTGTAATCAGAGTTAACCATTAAACTATTATGCTCTTGTAGAGTTCATTTAGACTTCAGCATCTACTTCATAGTATAATCTTGGTACTTTAACATACCTCTGTCTTTTTTCCTATTTTTTTACCAAACTTTCAATCCAAATAGTCTGTATAAGACTATAACTAGTCTATCAGTATATCAGGTCAACCTGATATTTTTTTTTTCAGTTTATTCTGATAGCCTGGTTGGTGGTATTTCTGAGACTCCTAATTCAAAGGTTCTTGTCTATCTGGTTATTATGATTAGATATTAGACCTTGATATCCATTTCCTTAAGCTAGTCTTTACAATAAAATTGTTAAAAATCTAGTTACCTTTTTACTTAGGTCTTCCCAAATAAACTTCTTCTTGAGGATGCAAATCATTAACTCTTTCCAATGATCACTTGTACCAAAATTCTCTGATAATAAACTGGCAATAACTAAATAATTT